TTTTTTTTTTTTTTTTTTTAAGAGACGGAAGGTCTCGCTCTAGCTTAGGCTAGTCTTAATCTTGTGAGCTCAGGCACCTGCCTGGGCCTCCCAGAGTGCTAGGATTATAGGCATGAGCCGCTGCATCTGGCTGATGATAACATTCTTGCCATTATCTTTTCTGCTGCTTCAGGGACTGCTGGCCCCACCTACCTTACGGCTTGACTGTCTTCTCTTGCTCTCTGCCCACAGCTGTGCCAGCCCCCCACTTCCCCTGGACTCCCTGTGCTCTTCTTGGCCTGGGCCTTTACTCCTGTCACTGCAATACCTGCTCACTGTGGTCTCACTCTTCACCTAGGAAGCTCCCACCTGAGTTTCTAATGTCCACCCATGCCATAGAGCAGCCTGTCCTGATTTCCCCCAGGTCAAACACACATCCTGTATTCAGCCTCTCTGAGCTAACAAAAATGAGGTTACTAGGATTAGAATAGTAATTACCAATAGTTCATTTAGTCACACAACTCAGTGGGGATAGGTTCATTCTCAGGCTATTATCTGGTATATCACCTAGGTCAAATGACCCAACTACAGTTGATAACTAGAGAATATTTCAATTTAAGGAGGTGGGATATGATTAAAAGGTAAACTGTCACTGTCAGATCTTAGAAATAGGTTAATACTAGGCTTAGTTGCTATACCTACACTTGTCCAGAATGGATTTTGGATCAGAAACTGCAGAAGGTAAATACAAAGCACCTCTTCTTATGTCAGAAAATTCAGATGCAATAGAAATGGGGAAAAGTGAGAGCATAGGGAGCCTCTTGTCAACTAGTTGGTTATCAAGTGTCGATTCCAAGGTGGCCTCACTTCTGTGTTTTCTCCTTTGATGCTACTTGAAGAACTGTCTTTACCCATTGATTAGTTTGCTTGTTTACTCAGCATTTTCCCTCATACAGGTCCTTATTTTATCTAAAAGCATGGAAAGCTCTTCATTTCTAAACTGTATTTACCATTTCCTTCTAGTTACGAGCCAGAGTTATTTCCTGGTTTAATCTACAGAATGATCAAACCAAGAATTGTTCTTCTTATTTTTGTTTCTGGAAAAGTTGTATTAACAGGTAAGTTGTAATAGGAAGTAGCATCTTTAAGTTTGGAAGAGTATCATGGGTGGCATTTTCTCAGCGGACAGTGGGCTAGCTTTTCATGCAGAGGCCTTCCACACTGACACTCTGGCGACAGACATGCCCACAGGAGGGACAGAGTAAGAGCAGGCAGGTCTGACCAAGCCCTGGTGCTCCCTCAGGCAAAGCACCACCTATGTTGACTGTGGGGGAAAGGAGCTGTGCTTCGAGTGAGGCTAGTGATTCAGTGGAAATTAGTCCTTAAGCTGTAGGATTCTTCAGTAGTATCACGAGACAATCAGGACAATTCCGAAGAACTTAGTTGAAGGCAGCAGAGAGCAAGAGCTCCCCTGCTGCTCAGGCCACTGTTCAGGAGCAGGGGAGGCTGTGAGGACCTGTCAGTCTTCAGAGAGCTGAGCTGCAGAGCCAGAGGCTGGAGGCAAATGGTGCACTGCTTTTGTGTGTATGTGTGTGTGTGTGTTTTAATAAAGAAAAGAGGTTTATTTGGCTCATGGTTCTGCAGACTGTACAAGCCACATAACCCCAACATCTGCTTCTGGTGAGGCCTCAGGGAGCCTCCAAACAAGATGGGAGAGGGGGGATCAGGCGTGTCACATGGCAAGAAAGGAAGTAGTAGGAGTTGCTTTTGTTCTTTAAAAAAACATTTAAAAAAATAATGTTTTGAAAACAGTAACAGAATTGTGACAAGGGGTGCCACCATTAATGTCTTTTTTTTTTCTTTTGGGACAGAGTCTTATTATGTCGCCCTTGATACAGTCCCAGGGCATCACAGCTCACAGCAACCTCAAACTCTTGGGTTCTCAACCTTCCTAATGCTGCAACCCACAGGAACCCATATAGTTCCTCATGTTGTGATGACCCCAACCATAAAATTATCTTCGTTGCTACTTCATAACGGTAATTTTACTACTGTTATGAATGGTACTGTAAATATCTGATATGCAGGATGTATTTAGGTGACCCCCATGAAAGGGTCGTTTGATCTCCAAAGGGGTCGCATGACCCACAGGTTGAGAACCACTGACTTAAGTGATTCTCTTGCCTCAGGCTCCCAAGTAGCTGGGACTACAGGCCTCCTCCACAACACCCAGTTATTTTTTTTTGTTGCAGTTGTCATTGTTGTTTAGCTGGTCGAACCTGCCATCCTTGGTGTATGTGGCTGGTGCCATAACCACTGTGCTACGGGAGCTCAGCCCACCATTAATATCTGAATGCGTGTATCTGTTTATCTGACTGATATGGAGAGAATGTGCCTAGTGTGTTTGGAAATGCCATTTCAGGCTCTTCATCTACACCCCAACTTTTGTTCGTAGGTGCTAAAGTCAGAGCAGAAATTTACGAAGCATTTGAGAACATCTACCCCATTCTAAAGGGATTCAGGAAGACAACATAATGACTGCCATGTGCCCTGCCTCTACCACCCACGTGTTCTGAACAAGTACGTTCTGGTACCACGCTCAGGTGTGGGTGGTGGCACCAGGCAGTGCTCTTCCACGCGGCCTGCCGAGGCGTCGTTTGTGTACTAAGAATACCATGCAATGTGCACTGAGCTGCTCCCACTGTACCGCTACCTGGGCAGCGCCCACTTATTTATATTTAGATTCCAAACACTGTTGTTGACAAGTTTAAGGGACAAAACTTCAAGTGTTAAAACCACCTCTGCAATTCATTGGACTTTTGGTTTTTTTTTCCCCATAAACCACAGTTTTTATATTTCTATCAGAAAAGTAAAAATCTTTTTTAAAAGTGTTGTTTTTCTAATTTCTAACTCCTAGGGGTTATTTCTGTGCCACACACATTCCACCTTCCAGTATTGCAGGACAGAACTGATGTGTTAATGAAAACAAACAGCTGTACATATTTTTCTTCAGAGTACCCTGTACAATAAATGCAGTTTATAAAAGTGTTAGATTGTTACTATAAATGATATCTTGTAAGAGTCATGTGATTATACTGTTTAAAAAAGTCATATTTTAGATACAATGTCTGAAACCATTCTGGTGTTTGCTTGTTGTTTGCTGCCATTACCTGAGAACTCGCTGTTGCTCAGGAAATGTGTATATATTACCTTCTGTTGGAAGCACTTCCTGTTTCCCAGTTAGGTTGCAAATGGTGCCTGGAATCCTCACAAAGCTGCAGGTTTTATTCCTCTTTTGGAGGTGAGACTTGGGCTTAGCTGAGGACTTGGCTAAGGTTGCATAGCCAGTGAGTGGCAGCTGCACCCTGTCCACCACAGATGACCAGTTCTCTGTTAAGTTTTTTGGTGAGAGGTTTTTTTTTTCCTCATGGATTATCAGCATTCTTAAGTTTCATTGTTAGGGTTCGTTTTGGTTTGGGGAGGAGTTGGTTTTGTTTTCAAATTGTGGTTATAAAAGTACGTTTCCACCTCCTTTTCCCGTCCCCTGTCTCCGTAAGGTAAAGGTATTTTCCAAGACCTGTCCTATGCTAATTCTATCCTTAGAGCTTGCTTTTGATCCTGTTTTTGGAAAAATTACAGAATATGTTCAGTTTTATAGCTTTCCTTTTTTTCAGGTAGTATATCAAATGTATTTCCATTATTGGGAGTTAAGGTGCTCTTACGTACTTTCATTTATTGAATCATTCCCATTCCCTTAATTATGGTCATTTATGTTATCTCTGGTTTTTCACTATTGGGAACAGTACTGTAGGAATGGCTTTCTATGTGTACTTCTGTGATAAGTACTGGTATTTTTGTAGTAAACTTTCTGCAAGGAATTGCTATATTAAGAACTATTTATACATTCTAAATTTTGTTAGATCAGTAACCACAATGCAGTCCAAAAAGAAAAGTGTATGAAGTTCCCTTTTCCTGCATTTCCCAGTCATTGATGCCAACAATGTATGGGTTTGGGAAGACATCATTCCAGTATTTATCTCTATCCCAGAAGTGTCTTTTCATATATATAGGCCGTGTGTGTATTCCTTAGTAAAGTTTGTTTTTGAGAATTTCACTTCGTCACCCTAGGTAGAGTGCTGTGGCGTCATAGCTCATAGCAACTACAAACTCTTGGGCTCAAGCGACTCTCTTCCCTCAGCCTCTCGAGCACCTGGGACTATAGGTGCCTGCTACAATGCCTGGAACCTCAAACTTTGGGGCTCATGGATTCTCTTGCCTCAGCCTCCTGAGTAGCTGGGACTAAAGGTGCCAGCCACAAAGCCCGGCTATTGTTTTTATTGTTGTTGCAGTTGTTTAGCAGGCCCAGGCCAGGTTCAAACCCACATACCTCAGTGTACATTGCCAGCGCCCTAACTGCTGAGCTACAGGCGCTGAGCCCCTAACTCTTTTCCTTCCAATATGTGGGCTATTGAGTGGGTAGAGCTCAGAGTTTGGGTTTTGCTAGTTATAAAGTCATGGTATAATTCAGCATGTCTGCTTTTCTTTTTTAAATTTTCAAGATAAAATGAGTTCATATTACTATGTATAGTTCAAATTCAGAATTATAGGATTTGAATTTAGTCAATTCTATATTATGTATACAGTTTCTTTTATACTTAGAATTCTTAATTTTTTAAGAACGTGGAAAACGAATTAGACTATTTCATAATTACTCATTTATTTAATCTATATCATACATGCAACATTTTGGGTTTTTTTTTCCCTTTTTCTCTCCAAGATGATGTCTCTGTCTCCCTGGTTAGAGTGCCCTAGTGTCGTCATTGCTCACAGCAACCTCAAACTCCTGGGTTCTAGTGATGTCTTGCCTGAGAGCTGAGACTATAGGCACCTGCCACAACGCCCTGCTAGTTTTTCTATTTCTAGTAGAGACTGGGTATTACTCTTACTCATCCTGGTTTCCACCTTTTGAGCTCAAGCAATCCACCTGCCTCAGCCTTCTGGAGTGCTGGGATTACAGGTGAGTGCTACTGCAGCGGCATATGCAACATTCTTCAGAGTGACAAAATACTTCCCCCAATATAATTTCCCCAAAACAGGTAAAACATGTTTTGGGGGTTTTTTGGGCAGTTTTTGGCCGGGGCTGTGTTTGAACCCACCACTTCCGGTATGTGGGGCTGGCCCTACTCCTTTGAGCCACAGACATCGCCCTAAAACATCTGTTTTTTGCTATGACTGCCAATTGTCAAAGGACAAAATCAGCTCAGTCCAGGCAAAGCCTGGGCATAGCAGATCTTAAACTGCAGGGTGGAGCCAAGGACTGGCAGTTGGTACCGTCTGTGGAGCTGTGGCTGCCTGGGTACGACTTGCTGAATTGATCATCTGGTGCCTTTTTTTTTTTTTTTTTTCAGTTTTTGGCCAGGGCTAGGTTTGAGCCCTCCACCTCTGGCATACGGGGCTGGTACCCTACTCCTTTGAGCCACAGGCGCCACCTGATCATCTTGTGCTTTTAAGTGTGTCCTGATATTTTTTATTTTGTATTATTCTTGTATTTATTTTCTATATAGTTGCCATTTTTAAACACAGTTGCCAAGTCGGTGCTGACTCAGAGGCTCTCTTTGGGTACAACCTGTTCTGAGTGAAAGACCAGGTGATCTTGGATCACCTCTAGATGCACATGGTGGCAGGCTGGGTGCTCTGTGCTATGTTCCCATCACAGCTTCTACCATAAAGACCCTAACGTATTTGCCTTAAAGGGCCTTACTGGGCAGAACGCACGCGTACTAACTACAAGGCATTACTCGCCCCTTGTGACACCAAGTCCCCGGGTCCCCGCTGTCGGTCTACATGTCCTGCGGGGTGTTGTGACCAAACCACGCCACAAGGGGGTGATGGAGACTGGTTCGCAGCGACCCTGAACCCAACCACCCAGGGTCAGAGACCAGGAGAGTGGCCTGCGGGAGTCACTGCACTCCCCCTGGGGGTGCTGTGCGACTAGACAGACGCGCCATTAATACGTCACACACACCAAGCATATGGTAACGGTCTAGTGTACATCACACACACTTAAGTCTGAACGGAATATGGACTAATAAGACATTATATGTGAATAGCCTTACTAGGCTGCTTCTGGGCCAGACCCTTCCTCTAGTTTACATTCCACCCATGTCAAGGTGAGAGGGGAAGGGAGGACTGCCCTCTGCCAGTCACTCTCATCTGTAAGCAGGACTACTGGCTGAGCAAGGTCACTTGGGACATACAGGCTCTTCAAACTCAGGTTTTACAACCACAAATACACCCTTTCCCCCAAAACTGTCAACTTCAGAATTCCTAGGAATCTTGTCACACCCACAAGCCACAGAAATGCAGTTTTTCTTACATTCTGGGCTTCCAGTGAGTACTAGAGCCTTCCACAGTAAGCAGATGACCAGACAGCAGTTGACATTTTACTTATTTTTCTTTTCCTTTTTTTTTTTTTTTTACAGTTTTTGGCCGGGGCATATGGGGCCAGTACTCCTTTGAGCCACAGGCGCCACCCTACCTATTTTTCTTTTTAACTTTGCAAATTTATAGGGTGATGTGTTCTAAGAATGGTACTTATCTTGGCACGTACCCATTTTTATTATCGAAAGAAATGCACACATAAATAAAAAGATCTCACCATTCACAGATAACCAGTTAACACTTGGTATGTATCTTTCCAGCTTTATTACTGTATTCATATGTATGTAAAAACAGCTTTACACAAATATGGTCATACCTTATCACCTACAGTAGTATCTAGTGCCTTTTTTTCTTTTTTTTTTTTTAGGTAGAGTCTCAGGCCCTGGGCCAGACCCTTGTGGTATCAGCCCAGCTCACAGCAACCTCAAACTCCTAGGCTCAAGCAATCCTCTTGCCTCTGCCTCCTGACCTATCACAACACTCACCTAATTTTTCTATTTTTAGTAGAGATGAAGTCTCCCTCTTGCTCAGGCTGGTCTTGAACTCCTGAGCTCCAGCAATCCACCGATCTTGGCCTCCCAGAACACTGCCTCTAGTATCAATTTAGATCTGTATCTTATTTGGGGTCTACATGGGTACATATCATTAACTGCATAGCCTTCCACTGCAGACGTTTAATAAATTAAACGTTTATTTAATTTTGGACATTTTCATTAATATTTAGGCACTGTAAATCATGCCTCAAGCAACATCTCTGTACCTCTACTTCTGGTACAGTTATTTACTTAGGATAAAGTCCTAGAAGTGGAATTGTAAGGTGTAAGAGATCATTAACATTTTTTAAAGCTTTAAGATGTGTTTAAGGTGTGTCTGTTACATCTTGCTTCCAAACAAATTCCTCTGTATAGCCAGTACCCAAGCTACAGCTCTCAGCACAGGTGAAGACAGCCAGAACACCCCAGTCCACACTTGTGCCCAGCCTATCCGCCTTCAAGTAGTTCAGCAGCTGAGGCATGACCTGAGGAGAGGGTGACACAGTTAGATGCTGCTTCAAGCCAGGGAGCACTATGTACTCCCAACGGACTTGCTTAACCAGGGTCATTACTGTCTTTCAGTTTCCACACAACAGGATTACAGATGACATACAGTTCACATACTTAATAATCTAAATATATTCTACAACTTCAAAGCTCCTCTCTACTTCATCTGGCCTTCTGTTTGATGTCTCTTTTCCATTTCAGAAAGATATTCCCACATGGCTATTATTGAACTTTTTATTACTAATATGTATTACTGATATGCCACAAAATTGTCCTGACTCAAGAAGCCCTAACCCTAACTTCCAGCAATGGATACAAAAAGGACATCTGTTAATATATTTGTATATAAAAGGGTCTCTGAAGTCACGTAGTCTCGAAGAAGCAGAATTGCCACTGTCATGTGAAACTGCTTCACACAAATCTTATCATCTCATCCTGGGCATCAAGAGCTCTGGCACTAAGTAAACAGTTTTGGCCATGGTCCTAATGATTCCTTCTTTTTTAAACCAAAGAAATAAATATCATCCACAGCTTTGTAAGGTTAGTGAAGCCACAGCTCAAGAGCATTTCCACCCTCCCCAAATACACTAATGTTAAAACTCCTTTGTAAGAAACACCTTAATACTTATATCCATTTGTTCTAATAAGACCACAACCCAAGATTATACAGTAATGGCTGTAAAATATGCCTCTCACAATGTATGGCAGCCACACAGGGGCACCTTCTAAACCTCCATCACAGGAGTCAGTCTAACAAAGCCTGAAAACTAGGCGAGTAACAAATGTCAGAAAAAGGAGAGAGATAACTACCAGAAAAAGCAGTGAAAGGTAATTCCCTCCAGGGAACAATCCCCAAGGTTGGGGAGAAAACTGATTTTCATTCATTACAGGGCACTTCCACACTGCCATGTGCATGTGTTACTGTAATAAATTTAAAAACAAATCACAGTGACTACACACTAAAACAGTCTTTTTTAGAAGTCATACCTGGAATTCAAATATTCTCTTGGCACCACAGGGGCAATCTGGAATATCCTTTTCTTCAGGGATATTTTCACCAGAAATCCAAATGGGGGCAAGACCTCTGCCGTATCTGAGAATCTAAAACCAACGAGAATGGTGTCAAGACTGTGATCACCTTACCTAAGTTGTCTATGGGTAACATGGTATCTGGTGACCATGTGGAGAAATCCTACATATGTCCCACACTTGACACAGTACTGATCTGAAAAGCATTTCTGTCCCCCATCAGACCCTGCTATGTCAGTGAGCACCACTAGCACCCTCTCAGTTTCCTGCAGTGGTTAGTTCAGCTTATCTGACCCAAAGAATATCAAAATTTGATTTCTTAGATCAGGGGTCCTCAAACTTTTTAAACAGGGAGGGGACCAGTTCATTGTCCTTCAGACCACTGGAGGGCCGGACTGCGGGCCGGGACAAGTCAGCTGCTAAGCAGGATAGTCAGTGGCGGCAAAATCACCTGGCGGGCTGGATGTGGCTCACGGGCTATAGTTTAAGGACGCCTGTCTTAGATGCTGCTGCTTTCACTACCTTAGAACCTTAATCCTATGAATGTACAGTAAAAGGACTAAGAATAAACCCACAATTCCCCATTTGAGTTCCCTGAACTCAAAATGCTGCCCAGACTCTTTGCTCACCTTCATTCATCAAAAGGGATCTTAGTTAAAAGAGAGGACCACCAAGTGAAACATGGTGTTTTAAACTACAAACATGGGCAAAGTTCACTTTAAAAAGCTTCCTGTAATGACTGCGTGGTTTTCCTGCATTTTGTTAAAAAGGATACTTATTGCCAAAAACTACTTTCTTAGTGTTTAGGACCTAGATTTATTCTTCCTCTAAACCCCTGGATATTTATTTAATCCCAGTGACTGGTTTATGGGAATTCAGCTGAGTTTTCTTTAGGGATTTACATTTATGGCGTGGGAAGTTAATGAGAATAATGTTCTGTTAGCATGTCCCATTGGTTTTACTAGCCAGGACCTATTGGAAAATAGGCAAAATAACTTATTTTGTTGTTTTTGGCCAATGGTGCCAAAGCTCCATGTATCTTAGGCAACATCTCATTTACCTCTTACCTGAATTACTTCTAAGGGATAAACTCATAAAACACACCCTGAAAAGAATACAATGAGGAAGGATGAGTTCTAGTTTACCTGTTCTGGATCAAGGGCTATGTGAGTTTTAAACTTCTGGAAAATTTTATCTTCCCTGGATTCATGTTTTGCCATGGAATCTAGTTCTTCCTCAAGTGTTTCACCTGAAAAATCAACATTAACTTTTATGGAACACAGGAATAATCCCCACAACTTGACAATTCACTCATGCTGAGGGAACCCAGTTTTAATCAGATACCTAAAGTTGGGCCATCTGAATTTCCAGGCATTCCATGCAGCAACATTTACTATGCAGGTTCCCACTTAGCACTTTGCCTTCAAAGTCAAGGGCCTAGGATTGTACACAGCCCATAATAGGACACACAAAAGAATGTGAACACTTCTTATCACCACTATCCTGAAGCTGTTGGACTCTTACTTCACATCTTCAAATGCAGCTCCCTCAGCCCATACTCCTCCTGCCGGCCTCTTTCTCCTAGGATCTCACACTTACGTCTCAGCTAAGACACAGCAACCTGCATGAAGCATTTCTCCTTATTTTGGAAAATTATGAATATATATGAAAATAGAAATTCTATAATGAACATTCATGTACCAATTAGCTTCACTACTATTATTTCAAGTCCAGTGTTTCTTGTCAACTGCTTCCCCCAACTCAATTATTCCGAATAAATACCACACATATCACTTCATCTTTGAATAATTCAAATATGTCTCCCTAAAGACAAACTCTTCCCCTATATTTACCAATTTTTTTTTTTTTTTATTGAATGGTAACTATGTACATTAATGCACTTCTGGAGTATAGTGTGGGGTTTTCACATGCAATCCGAAATACTTCCATCAAATTGGTCACACAGCCTTCATGTCATTTTCTCAGTTATTTTAAAACGTTCACATTCTACTCTTATATTTACCAATTTTTGAAATGAGTTTGTTGCCCACATTTCAGCTTTATCTGAATGTTTCCTGACACAGTTCTGGAATCAACCAACTCCCAGCAAAGCCTGGAGTTTCATGTAGAGAAATGGCATCCAGACACCACCATGCAGGCACTAGAGATACTTGCTGCTACTGAGCTGGTCATTATCACTGTGCCTTTATAGTCGATTAACTATATTGCAAGTTCCTAACTGATACTTCCAATATAAATTCAGACTTACAAAGTTTGTATTAAATTTTAACTACCTACATCATTTTTGTCCCATGCTAATACATCAGTTCTCAGTAATTCCAACATAATTACTTCTCTGCTTAGCACTCAACACACACAACCAATACCTCAAAAGAACAGCAACATTCTAGCAATGACAAGTTTATTGAAAATCGTACAATTTTCTTTCAGTTCTCTTCATTCTTGGGTTATATTTCCCTAGGGATGGTCTGTCCTATGTCTTGAAGTCGTTGAGAAGAGTTCTTTTACTCTTATAAAAGTCTAATTCAATACAATTTCACTTGCTTTTCTTTTCTTTTTTTTTTTTTTTTGAGGCAGTGTCTCAAGCATAGAGTGCTTGGCGTCATAGCTCACAGCAACCTCCAACTCCTGGGTTCAAGTGAGCCCTGCCTCAGCTTTTCTATTTTTAGTTGAGATGGGGGTCTCACTTTTGCTCACAGAGGTCTTGAACTTGTGAGCTCAAGCACCTACCTCAGCCTCCAGAGTGCTAGGATTACAGCTGTGAGCCACCAAGCCTGGCCAATTTCACTTACTTTTGATGATCCAGGATAGATTTTTAAAATTTAATTTTACTTTGTAATCATACAAAACAAAGTCACATCCACATAAACAAGGTACGTTCCAATCCCAGCTTTATCCTCAACCCTCCTACTCCATTCTCTCCTTCTGTGACTGGTTTTATAACAAAATTTTACAATTCTCTTGTGTCTTAGCTCCCTCATATTCAAAAGGAATTTCTTTTTTGTTGTCGTTGTTTTTCTTTTGTACAGAGTTTCACCTTACTACCCTCGGTAGAGTACCGTGGTGTCACACAGCTCACGGCAACCTTGAATTCCTGGGCTTAGGTGATTCTCTTGCCTCAGCCTCCCGAGCAGCTGGGACCACAGGTGCCCGCCACAACACCTGGCTATTTTTTGTTGCAGTTTGGCTGGGCCAGGTTTGAACCCGCCACCGTTGATATATGGGGCCAACACCCTACCCACTGAGCCATAGGTGCCACTCTCAAAAGGAATTTCTAATGTTCACATTAGAACTGAAGCAGGCAGCTAAGTGGCCTTGACTTGACAGGAGTGAAACAGTAAGGGTTATCTCAGCTCCCCGTGGCTTAGAAATAGCAGTCTTAGAAAAGAGAGAGGTCTCAGAACAAACTGCTGAATGGATTTGTAATTTTCTGTACACTGATAACCATTTGAGTTTTTCCCAGTTAAACAGCAGAACCTCCTTGCAGCCCTGAGGTAACTATAGTGCCTTACTCTACCAATGTCCAGAGAAAGTCAAGATAAGTGATGGTGATACGCTACCACAGACTGTGACCAAGAGCCACTGAGCCTATGCACAAGGCTCAAAGAATGAACAATATTATCCCCTAGCTCATTATAATACTAAAATTCCCACCCTGAGGTGGGATTTGCCCACCATTTTCTGTTCATGGGCTGTATGAATTAGCATGATTTTCCACTGCGCTTGTGTGCCCTGCACTCTACCCCAAATGTAAGGAATACACTCCCTCTACACATTATTCATTTCATCTCTATAAAAATCCCTTACGCCTGCTAATCTGACAAGTGGATTTGAGGTAGCCTGTGCCTCCTTCTCCCAGTTGACACATCCTCTGAAATAAATCCTTTCTTCTTTAGCAATCCTCGTCTCAGAACTGGCTTTCTGTACAGCGAGCAACAGTGAACTCCCTTGTGGATTCATTAAAACCTTCTCCTAAAGGTGAGCATTTTCATTATTTAACCATTTAAAAACAACAACGTACACACAAGATGTATGTATGGTTCCAGCCACGCAAACTTGTGATGTCACGCATCTTCCCATGGCACCTGAGCTATTATTGGTCGCCACATGATTTTTAACTTCCCTAAGTACAATCTGGGCTCCTCTAAGAAACTATGAGCACCTGACCACCAGAGTATTGTTTCCGATTATGCCCAGGAATAAGCACACGGTCAGACACATGGCAAGACACTCAATATGTTTTAGAAAGTGTGACTGTTATGAACTACAAACTAGTAAGTCGATGTTCTCATTTAGATACTATACTCTTATTTTGTGGTGGTGGTGGTGGTGTGTGTAGCTCAGGTTTTAGAGTCAGCAAGATCTAGGCTAAAACCTGAATTGTAAAGCTTCACAGTTCCACGTCAAAACCAAGTGACACCCACAACTCCAATCTCCAAACGTGCACTATGGGGCAGAGTTTCTCACTTATGGGGCAGTAGTCAGGATTTTAATGAACTAAAAACAGACCTTAAAAGCATGAAAGAAGTGTTAGATAAATGTTAACTACTATTATAAGTCTCGGAAGTATGTGGTCAGCATAGATACTACTCTAGAGTATAAAACTCTAGGTAAAACTGGCAAGTTAAAAGAGAAATTGTTAAAGGGCCCTTGCTGCAGGCCAAATACATTAGTTACTCTCATTCCCCTGATCTGAGAAATAGACCTGAGACTCAGAGGCACTCAGTAAGCATCCAGCATCTTCTACCACTCCCCTCACCTCAATCTGGTTACTTCTTCTGTCTCTGCAGGGAGCAGACAGGCCCTGACATAACCCAGGAGGCTTGGTAGAAGAAGTACATTTTCACCTAAGGCAATATTTGGAACTATAGGTTGCAGCCTCCAAAGTGTCAGCCTTCCCCTCTCAGTCCCTTTCTTTCCAACATACTCAACCCTTTCTCCCACGTATTACGTTTAACCTGAAGTCCTGAGACTGCTTACCCATGCTCCCCACAATCTCTGTAGCATCTTCCTCTCCCATAACTTCAGGCATAATGTCATCCTCTGTTTCTATTATAATTTCAAATTCTGGAAAAAGAAAATTGTGGTCTGGAATTCCATGGTCCAAATGATCTAAAACAAACAAACAAAAGTAGCACCCTTAGTAATCATTTAGTTGTGAAGGTGGGCTGATAATTTTCTATTTCTAAACTATCACATTCCATACAGCAACAGTATTCCCTACTATTACATGTAGTTCTAGAATTTTAGAATAGGATCAAGTTAAATATCTGTATCAAGGTAAAGCTGGTAGCATAACTGAATGATTAAGATCTCATAGGTTTTCTTTTATAAAGATGTTCATGTTGCTATCTTTTATAAAGATTTCAAAAAGTATTATACTTTTTCTAATCTTAACTTATACTGGACGTATGTTTGGGTAGACAGAAGCTATGAAACTGAGCTGTGACATACCTGGCTGTGAACATGCCTGCTTATGTCCCAATCTCCAGTCCAGAGCTTGATGCACCTTACCACAGTAATGCACCTTGTGGCATCGGGAGCATGTTTTGGGGCCTAAACAGCCACAAACCCTGCAGAGATGAGCACCAGACTTAAGCTGGAGACACAAAGATGGTCCTGTTTCTGGAGGAGGATTCTCAGAAGGTGGCTCATAGGAGTAAAAGTCATTTTTCCTGGGTAGCTGATTCCTAAAAACTGAAAAAGAAAGAGTAAAGGTAAAAGTATTTTCAGTAAAACAAAATAGCAATTCACATACCTGAGCCTCTACTCCATGTATGACTGAAAAGATACTCATTCGAAGAAAAAAAAAAGGAGAGAAATGAAGTTTTTGCTTTCCGGAAGCTTATTTTCTGGAAGGGGAAAAGCTTTTAAAATCGAGAAACTAGATTTTTGTCTGGTATACACAACTAATTGGCTCCTGGACCTGGCTGCAGTTAATCGAGTAACAAGACTAATCGTTAAGACAGCCTGCCAAAAACATGAAAAAGCTACTAGGACCTATCTTTCTAAAAAGTATTTCTATTATCTTGTTGCTAACCTAGGAACAACTGATTTATCAAAAAGCCGGAGGTAACAAATGAGCGTGGGCATAGTGAGGCGCTCACTTAGTAAGCCGCGAAGGACCTAGGAGAAGGGGCTCCCGGGGAACCACAGGGAGGGAGCCGGGCCGGCAGCAGCTGTGCTTCTGGCCCTTCACACCTCGTCGGCGCTTAGACTTTCAAGTCTGCGCTCGCACCAGAGACCTAAGTCAGGAAACAAGGTGGGCTCGGGCGCACCTCGCAGGCCGGCGCAGCACGGCGGCTCCCGGCAGCAGAAGAGGAAGAGGCTGCGGTGGAAGGCGTCTGTGCGACCGGGAAGCGGCGCGTACACCTGCAGCAGGAAAGCAAGCGGGCGGCCGCATAGTGCGCAGGCCAGGGCCCCGGGCCCCGGCAGCCCGACCTCGCCCAGCCACGCCGGCCGCCCGCCCACCTTGCTGGGGAACTGGTCGCTACGCAGCCGCCACGCCGGCGCCTCCTCGGCGAAGCCCAGCTCCACCTGCAAGGCCAGCGCAGCCATGCGGCATTCGGTCCTCGTCAGGGAGAGGGGGGTAGTCCCCCACTGCCAAACTGGAACGCGGACGTCCACCGGACCGGAAGGCAAGAGGCAGGAACCGGAAATGAAGCCCAGGGACGGGCGGGCATCGACGAGAAGCGATTGGAGGACGGGGTGAGGAGGCGGGACAAAGAAAATCTCCCGGCGTGGGCCCGCCTTTGGCACAGCTACTTGCGAGCCGCGCTACTAGGGGCGGATGGCCTCTCGTTCCTCAGTCGGGATGCGGTCTAGTTCCTTGACTTGAGGTGCCTGGCAGGGGTTGCCGCTGGCCGAGGAGCGAGGGATAAGAGACGCCAAGCTGCTGGGCGCCCGGGCGGGTAGACCGGGACCTGCGCGCGTGTCGTACGGGGTGCGGGCCGCCTGGCCCGCCCGGCTGTGCGGGAGGCAGCCTCGCCTCCAGGACCGGGCGGAGCGGGCTGCATCCGGGCCTCGGCGTCTGCCGGAGAGCTGAGCCCTAGCCGCCGCAGGGACTCTGAGCCGTTCGGGAGGGCGGCGCCCTGACGGTCTGGTTAAGATCACGGTCAGGCTTAGGGTTAGAAGGTTAGCGCTACGATGTTAGGGTAGGGGTGGGGCGAAGACCACGGATTAGGGTTAGGGGACGGAGGCTGGAGTTATGGTCCAAGTCTGGTGTAAGGGTTAGGGTTGAGATTAGTTTGTGAATAGGTAGGGTAGGAGCCAGAGTCCACTTTAGGGTTGGGCGAGGATGAGACTTGGGCTAGAGTTAGGGGGTTAGTGTGTTGGGGGTGAGGGATAGGGTCAGGTTTAGGGGTTAGGGCTGAGTTTTCAGATTGGGGTTAGGAGATAGGGTTAGGTTAGAGTTAGGGTTAGGGTTGGGTTAGGGTTAGGGTTAGGG